GATTCCTATAATACCATCAAATTTGCCATTTGAATTCAAAAGATTGCAATTCCCGATCAATGTCAGTTTTGCTATGACAATCAACAAGTCCCAAGGACAAACGTTAAGTAAAGCTGGTATAGATTTAACAAAAGGTTGCTTTACCCATGGGCAACTATACGTGGCATGTTCACGTGCGAGGAATGCCAGTAGCGTTGTTGTTTTAGCCAAGAAAATCGTACACCAAATATTGTATATAAAGAAATTTTTCAATAAAGCTAATACAAAAAACTGAAAATAAATGATAACTAAAATAAAAAATAAAAAATAAACGAATTAATTTTTTTGTTAAATTCCACGCGGACGAAGTCGCAGGCACAGCTAGTAATTAATAACTATACAAAATACTATACCATATAACCAACCTGATCAGACCGAAAAGTGCCAGAATTGAGTACTACAAGATCAGCTCCAGTAGCAGCGAGTAGTATATCACAGATCCAGTTCCCTAGGTTACACTCCTGCCGTCTGATGCAGGAGAACCGACCTTCCAGTGGAACGCAGATCTTGCCTAACACCTCGTCCATTTTGCCTTCGATCATTGCTGTGGAAGATAAAATGAGTTAGAAGATCGTATAGGTAAATATATCTTAGACATCAAAGAAAAAAAAATCTTTTGTTATGAAGCCGGTAAACGAGCAGACGGATCACTTGATGGTAAGCAATCGGCGTCGCCCATGGATACCTGGAACACCAGAGGCGTTACAAGTGCGTTACCCTTTGGGGATTGGGAATTTGAGGACTGTGGGGGTTCGGGGATTGGGGAGACCGGGGAGGGGGGAAATTGGGCCTCTAGTAACCTCACTCACATTACGAAAACTTTTCTGTGAGGTTTTCCTGTATTCAAAACTAAAACGGTATTATCAAAAGTAGTCGGACTATTTGCTAATTTGCATCGCGTTACAGGTTAAATTCACGCACGGAACTTTTCGTAATGGTACTCATACTTTGTAAAATTTTAGTGTTGGGTGATATTTCGATAAAAAATCAATAACAAAAGTTAAAATCAAAATATCCTAGGCTAAAATTACTATATTTTTTAAAACTACTAGAATTTGTTGAAAATTATAGTTTTTCGGTGATTACTGAGATTAATAGGCCATAACATTAGGCCAACAGATCCTAATACTACTTTGGCGCCCCCTAATGATAGCAAAATTGATAGCTGAACTTCTTAATTGGGTAGTTTCCAGGGTATCAAAATTAAAAACCTAATTAGTCCGTCAATTAGATAATTAAAAATATTAGACACGTATTTTTATTGTCTCGTATTAAGTTGCACTACTTAGATAAAATGGCGCTAAGTTTAGGAGTGGGAGGTCGTTACGTCATAACGTGCTACAAAATGTGGCACGCTGTGACGTCACACGATATGTCAAATTAATATATCGTCGAAAGTATTTAATTTTGTGAGAAAAGAAAAAATACGTGTGTAAAGTTTTAAATTAATGTACCAGACGGACATTAAAATATAATTTAGGAAACTACCCTATTCTGTCGAAAACTTAGAGTAAGTTATACTCTATGCTTCCCAACAGCTCTTTGAACAAATATAAATGTACTTACAAGAATACTTATCAGTTTTCTCCTTCAACACGAGGTCCTCTGCGTACGCGCATGTGACGTCCATCTCCGCGATATCAACCTGTACACCCTCGTCACCGAAGTTGATGCTGATCTTACTGAACTGACGGAAGTCTGTGCCGCTCTTTACAACGTATTTGTTATTTATCTGGAATTTTAAATTAAAAAAAAACTTAAATTTCTCTAAAATGTACTATAATAGGTACCTGGTCATTTAAAAATTATAATTCTTTTACGTTTAAAGAAACCGATGTCAAACCCCTCTTTTTTTAAATTGGTAAATTAATATACTAACCAACCTCGAAGGTTTAAGACGCCCGCTTCTCATGCATGAGGGTGCGGGCTCGAAACCTACCAACCTATTTAGTTATATGTACTTCTAACATTATCTAGACACCACTGACAAACGGTGAAGGAAAACATCGTGAGGAAACCTGGGCTTATAATTTCTAATTATAACTTTGAAATCGCCAACCCGCATTGATCAAGCATAGTGATTAATGGTCAAACCTTCTCCGTGTGAGAAGAGTCTTTGATCAGCAGTGGGCATTTATAGGCAGTTGATGAATGAATATACTACTAAACTATCTCCTAAACAAACACATTTCTGGAAACCGCATCAAGATAATCGCGCACAAATATACATACAGGTCTAACTGAGAACCATTTTTCTTTTCGAAGTCGATTAATAAACATAACATAACATAACATCACGCCTTTTTATCCCCGAAGGGGTAGGCAGAGGTGCACATTACGGTGTACAATGTAACACCCACTTTTCACTATTTATGTTACGAGTCCCATGTAATAAGGGGTGAGCCTATTGCCATATACCGGACACATTTCCAGACTCCATGCTACTACTGAGTTTTTTAAAAACCCAGTAATACTTTGCCCGACCCGGGAATCGAACCCGAGACTCCCTTGCCCGGCAGTCGCACTTGCGACCACTCGGCCAACGAGGCAGTCGATTAATAAATACAACTGATTATCTTGTTGTTCAATCATTGATACGTATCACAAGATCTCAAGTTCATTTCTCGGATTAGGCAATAAAACGTTATCTTTACCAATCAATCACTTCGACATTGTAAGATAGTTTTCAACTTACATTTTGATTTGATTGATTGAACACGTATTTTTGTACTATAACTAACTAACTAGGTACCAAGTAAGTAAACCACCGAGACTGGAAAACAGGATCATAGAGCTCAATAAACCAGAGGTCAGTGTCATTTCTATTTATCACCACAACCCTGTCTTTTGATAATTGGGGTCTCGGGTTCGATTTCCAGGTCGGGCAAAGTATTATGGGGTTTTAAAAAAAATCTCAGTGGTAGCACGGAGTCTGGAATTATGCCCGGTATATGGCAATAGTCTCACCCCCTATTACAGTGAAACCTGGTTAAGTGAGACATCAAGGGACCTGCAGTATCATTTCACTTATAGAGGTATTCCACTTACCCAGTATCTCAGATATACAGGTATAAATAAATATCTGTCTCATTTACAGAGGGTTTCATTAATAGAGGTGGACTTGGAATTACGTGGGAATTTGTGGGTAGAATAAAAATGAAAAACAAACAATGTTATCTCAGTTACAGAGGTTTATGCATATAAAATTTACTCGCTGTCTCAGTTATAGAAGTAACTATGATGATAAATCGAAAGAACAAATCCCAGATATAGAGGTTTACCTCGTCCCACTAACAGAGGTAATTCAGTGCCAAAGTGTTGGGACCTCAGCATGAGTTCCAGTTATGGAGGTTTCTCACTTATCCAGGTCCCACTTAACCAACTTTCACTGTACATGTGACTCATAACATAAATAGTGAAAAGTTGGTGTTACATTGTACAGTGGTATAATGTGCACCTCTGCCTACCCCTTCGGGGAAGAAAGGCGTTATGTTATGATTATATTGTGCGGCTCACATTGAGTAGCCTTTTAGTATTTGGGCGCTACTCGAATAACTATTTTAAGAAAGTAACTCAAGGAGCCAATATTCGTAGCAGGCTGCGAAGGAACCCGCCGATACATACATCGGCCTGGACCGTGCGCCCTCGCGCCCCCAGTCTCGAGCCTATATTGCTTATAAGACATTCAACGCAATTATTGTACGGTTGGCGCGGTGGCTGAGCAATTGGCTGCCGAGCAACGTGTCGCGGGTACTATTCCCGCATAGAACAACACTTTGTGTGATCCATAAATTGTTGTTCCAGGTCTGGGTTTCATTGTGTGTGTGAACTTGTATGTTTGTTAACGCACCCATGACATAAGAGAAAATTATAGGGGGGGGGATGTTTTTTTAAATTAATTAGGAATTGTTCCGAAAACAGTACTTACGTGTAAGACCTCATACACATGGTCGTGTCCTCCCAGTATGAGGTCGATGTCGTTGCATCCCTCCGCCAGCTTTATATCGTTCGGAGTGCGCATGTGCGTTAGTGCTATCACGTACTCACAACCCTGGAAATAAAGAAACAAATTGTACAGTCATCAAGAAAGAGATAAGTCGGTAAACGAGCATATAGATCACCTGATGGTAAGCAATCGGCGACGCTCATAGACACATGAAACATTCCAATGCGTTACCGGCCTTAGAGGGATTAGGAATATGAAGATAGTTGCGTATTCGGGGATTGAGGAGATTAGGGAGTGGGGGAGGGGTTATTGGGCCTCCGGTATTCTTGATATGACTTTCATGACAGTCCTCTGCTGGACTATAGGTCCCTTCTACATAAGAGAGTCTGCTATATTTAGTTATTTGGATATCGCAGTTTAATACGTTTAAGTTTATTAGAGCAGTGCTGCCCGTATAGTCCCCAACGGTCGAAATTAAAAGCTTTTAGACAGATACTAATGTCAAAATTTGAACTTAGAACGAATTTTGTACTGAGATCGGTTAAATATTTCGATCATTAGTCGGGTTTTACGACCCTCCTGGGAAGAGCAGTGGTGGACAAAAGTATTTACCTCTATATAATTTTGGTTAAAACAGG